CTACAAAATGCACAGTGCATTTCCTTAGCTGTGGATGAGTGCACTGACACCACTGACAATGCTCAGTTGCTGGTGTTTGTGAGTTTTTATGATGAGGCAAAGGGGGAGTTTGTTGAAGATGTGTTGGGCCTGACGAACCTCAGTGGACACACAAGGGGGCAAGACATTTATAAAGCAATAATGGTAATGCTGAATGAAAGAGGGTGCAGCTGCCTTTATTCATAACTGCAGCTGCACTGCGACCCTGAGGGATCAAGCACAGACACAATAACAATGAAAACTGCTGCATACAGATTATTTTTGTTTTTGCAACCTCGTGTGAATGACCGTAATAAACGGACCTTTGTCTTATTGAAAAGAAAATGTTGGACCTTTAAGATTTGTATTTGAGTACCCCTGCTTTAAAGCATATATATGCTTTAAAGGGCCGGCCGGCCGTCAACGGCCCTTGACGACCCGAGCTCGCTGTGGACTCCTGTCTCCCACCACCTCCACAGTGTCCAGCAGGTGTGTAGATATTAGCGGTGAGTGAAAAGCGAAAATGACAGCTCAACCTGAAGACTTGACTTTATATTTGGATGGTTCAGTGTCACTCACAACATAAACACAAATCACTACAAAGTGTCAAAAAATGCACTAAGCTATCCTGAAGCTAGCCTCAGGTAGGCTACTTTACTTTGCACGCAAAGGTATCATGGGCTGCTCTCCGGTACTTTATTAAATATATTATAATATTACAGTTCCTATTGAAAAAGTCTAAAATAATCTCTTCGAAAGGTAAGACTTATTCTCTTGACTCTGTGTCTTCTATGTTTGGTGATGGAGGCTATGTTGCATAACGTTTGCAAGTAAGAGATTGCCAAAACCTTAAAGTTTGGTGCTCAGGTTTTGGTGGCTCTTAATGCTTTGACTGGAACAGCTTCTGTTTAAAGTGCTCAGGAAAATATTAAAACCACTTTTATGTTGTAAATGTTTAAATCACAGATGTTAATGATATGTTGTTGAATAGAATGCTGTAAATATGAGGTGTGAACCATTCTATTCAACCAGGTAAGTCCCATTAAGTTTAAAACTCCTTGAAATGGATATTATAGTAAATACACAGACAGTGTGTGGTACTTGTGTGTGTTGTTCTAGGTTTTCTTTTTGTAAATATTAAATGGTATTTTTGATTTATATTGTTTTATATTTGTATCAATCATGGTCTGTGGTTTTTGATAAAACAAAACCACTTTCGAAACGTTTTTGAAATCTTCAGGAATTAAAATAATACTCAAAACAATTCAATAAATCATCATCTCATATTTATTTGGGAATCTGAAGGTGCACACATTAACATGATGTTCTGAATTTGGTAAAGTTACGGTTTTAAACCAACAAAACATATTTGAATTGAAACCATCAATTATCCTCAGATATGACTCCTAAATGAAACACAAGCTATTTCAAAGAAGCTAAATGTTATTGCATATTCAGTACAGTAAATACACATTTACAATAGCAGTATTTCCACACATCAATATCAACAGAGGACAACTAAGTGCTTAAGATTAAAGCAGAAAGACAAGTCCATTCGGCCACGATGGAAAAATTAAAGTCTGCGTTAAAGAAACATCAAGTACTATGTTGATTTTGATGCAGAGACAAGTAGAGGTATATGATCATAATAATAACATAATCACAAACCTGTTTAAATACATCAAGTCCCCTGAATCTTAAACATTTAACAAAAAACTGTAACTCAGGGTCAAATGGAAAACAAACCTTTCTCCGACAATGACAGGGTTTATTTTTGAAAAAATGTTACCGCTAGATCCCGTCATCTTTATGGCATGGAAGAGAGTTAATGAAGCTGAGCAGTTTTTATGCAAATACCAGTAACAACATCCCTCCTCTTAACCAAACCCTTAACCTCACCAAACCCTGAATTAACATACCACTTCTCCTTACTAAACTTAATCCGTCTCCAATGTAATACTAAAACACTTACCAATTCCACAATGTCTCTTATACTGCACCTTCACCCTTGCCTTCCCCATCTAAGTGGTAACTGCTTCCTGTTTTGTTGCTGATCATTGGCTTATGTAGGCATACTGTGGAACGTGACTCTATTCCTTGGGAAGAGGAACTGGATGCTAAATACATTCCCCTTCTAGGAATTAAGTCCACCTAGCATTATTACCACTTAAACAATCACCATTTCATTACACCACAATACTTTTCATAACCCTAACTTAGGCTGCCTTGTTTTAACTATACATCAGTAAGGCTCTTTTAGTCTTCCATGCCACAAATCCGTTGTAACCAGCGCAACACTTGCTAAGGAAAAATATATCTCATTGATTGGAAAACCCCCTGCTGAGTGGTTGTTTATGCAGCATGTGCCAGTTAACGGTCAAACAAAGAAGACATTAGTCTAAATCTAAATGGCAATCACTTTTTTCTTTCTTTTTATTTATTCATGAACATTTTTATCGTTGAAAGGTCAGCAGGCTATCTCAATAGCTTACCAAGATAACTAGTCCCTTGGTACCTATTAAGATAATTATCTTTAAAAGTAAAACTTGAATCTGCCTTTAAGGTTGTTTTTTTTTCTTTCAGCACAACATAATTGTTTTCATGCTGTATGTAATTCTATCAATATACAAAAGCAACTGTATAATGGAAAGGGTTGTTAAAGCATTAGGTAATAGTGGGTTATGAACATTTTGGACAGCACTACCTAACGTGATTGCAGCTGAATGTACATAATCACAAACATAAAGACAAATTCTTCTATGAAACATTAATCATTTTGAAATGTTTTTTTAGTTATCCCTCTATGTGTTTTTTTTTGTTTGCACAATGATAAAACAGTTAAGTCACAAAAAGAAACAGCGAGTGACAACAGAAAAAGTCCATATCGTGCACAATTATGATTTTACAGAACTAAATACTGCTTTAGTATCGCCTCATTAAAAATAACCTCTTTTGATAACTCGTATTAGTGCTTTTATCAGTGCTACGACATATCAATCTCAACAGCAACGTGTCCATATTTAGCACCACCACCTGCTTCTGTAACAGGGTGGGTGTACATAAAGACAGGTCATAGTATCTCTACCTCACATGAGATACTTGTGTGCAAAAACTATGCTTTAAAAATAAACCACGCAGAGCAGTGGTGTAGTCTTTGATGTGCACCTTTTGTCCAAGGCCGGATTAACCATATGGGCAGGGGCCCTTGAGAAAAGAGGGCCCTCAGTGACGAAAAAAAAAAAAAAAAATCTTTAAACATTTTTTTTTCCGGGCAAAACCTCTCTCATCATACATTGTTTTAAATGACAGTCACTCTTCGCCATAAATAACACAGCTTTTCCATAGGTTCAAATTACTGTAGGTCTCTGTACTGTAGGTCTCACTATGTATGCGCTCAACTTTATTACTACGCGGCAGAGGTGTATAGCCGAATCACAGCCCCACCCTTGAGCAACCACACAATTTCACTACATATTTTACTTTTGTAACTCTCTGTGTTTGTGACAAATAGAACTCCTCGTGTACTTGTACAGCCAGCCAGTCATATTTTGGCATTAAGTGGGGTGCTGTTCTGAGGTTTTGATTAATATTACCTAGGTCTTCTTGAGCCATACACTGTCTTGAGATCTTATCCATTGTATCTTTCTCTTGTGATTTTTGACTGAAAGGGCAAAAGGCTAGACCTACTTTGGTTGAACTATGTGGCTCCGCCCTGCTTTTGACAAATAGGTGTGCGATTTCACATGCCAGATTGACTGAAAATTCTAAATATTGGTCATGTTGGGATTGGGTAGGCGTGGTGTTACTTGTTGGTACGTGGGTTGGGGGGGGGCCCATGAGTGCTCAGTGCCCAGGGTCCCCTGGAGGTACTAATCCGGCCTTGACCAGAGGGGTCCAGGTTAGGGGTTTCCGTAAAGCCAGATACTTTGGGCATCTCCTCTTCGGGAGTGCAAGTCATCAATGTTTGGGCTCAGGTCTGAAGCTGAGGAGGCCCTCAGGAATGGGAGTGAAGGTTGCAATATACCGGGGGGGCCCAGACTCAATAGTAAATTTAGAAATTATCCTGCGGGCCGAAATTAAAACCACCCAAGGGCCTGATTGGGCCCCGGGTCCTTGAGTTTTGACACAATGTGACTTTAGGTAATGAATAACAGAAAATACCCAGGTTTCTTTGCAAAGAAGGTAAGACAAAGTAAAGTATGTTATGTAAAAGTGATGAGTCAAAAAATATTAGGGAGCAAAATTGGTTTAACCTACCAACCCTAATACATTAGTCCCCATTGCGCAATATATGTCAAGAAAAAGCGCTAAAATAACACCGATACGTTATTAATAGATATCATACGTGTTAGCCCCTTTAAAACCACTGCAGCCGCCCCTCTACAAGTCAGGTGCTGACATGCCTTATATATAGAGCCCTTAATAATCAGTGAAGTGATCACACGGCTGAGGAGACAGTAAGGAAGGCTAGTTTGGT